ATCCAGGCCACCCAAAGCTCTCATCCCAGCACCCTCCATGGTCACAGCCCTCCACCAGGCGGCAGGTCACGCCATGCCTTCTCTGTCCTCACAGTGGGGTGGCGGGGCTGGGCGTGTAACTCTTGTCCTGTGTTCTGTGGACACTGGTGCCTGGGTCACACAACAGTGGATGGAGCCTCAGAGCCCCAGGAGCCCTGTGGCTGCTCCTGCCCCTGGGATGGCAGGGCCAGCACGGGGACTGTGGGGCCCAGGAGGAGGGACCCCCCGGCTCATTATGCAGAGGAGGCCGAAGTTAGGCCGACGGGATGCGCAGGGGAGGATGGGATGGGCAGGGAAGCCATCTCAACAGCTGCAGGAGGCTCCTTCCCAAGGTGGAGGAGCGGGAAGGACGGGCAGGGCCCACGCGGTTGGGCTCTTCCTCCTCCAGCTCAGGAGCCACCGACAGGATATGGCCTCATCTGGGTGGCACCAGGTGACCAGGCCCAGCTCAGGGTCCGCTCTCCTCTGATGGTCCAGGTGGATACCGTGCAGCCCTGGGACTTGGCACTGGCTGAGCTGTATTCTTCCCAGCTCCCAACCCCTGTGGCACCCGCAGTTGTGAAGTCCTCAGGTGTGACCTCGGACAGGGTCCATCAGGTACTTCCCTGGTGCCCGTGCCGTTCTGGAAGCTTCTGTGATCTTGTTTGCTCACAGCACTCCTGCCTGCAGTAACTGTCCCCATGTTAAGATGAGGTACAGGCTGGGGCTTGGAGGTGCCACGGTGGTGTCAGTGTCCCTGGGCCACCTAGCAAACCACCGTGGGCCCGGCAGCCTGAGCAGCAGGCCTGTATTCCCTCCCACACACTCCGTCTGGAGGCTGGACATGGAGATAGAGGGGCCTCTGGGCTATCTTCTTCCTGGACCACTCTCCCTGGCAGGTAGGCTGTGTCCTTGCATGGCCGTCCCTCTGTGCACAGCTGTGTCCTAATCTTCCTTCTCATAAGGACACCGGTTCTATTGCATTAGGGCCACCCCAGTGACCTCGTTTCACTGTACTCACCCGTGCAGAGGCCCTGTCTCCAAACACAGCCTCAGGCCCAGGTGCAGGGATTCCGGTGCTGGGGCTTCCGCAGGCGGATGTGGGAGGCCCCGCTTGGCCCCTGCCCTGGCCTCCCCGCCTGCCCTGTGTCCTTCAAGGCTTCCTTCCTGGTCTGTCCCTGACTCTGAGGCTCTGTTCCGTCTGGGTACGTGTGGGCTCCGGACCCCGGTAACTGAGTCTGAGATGCAGACCCCCAGAGGACAACTGCTCTGCCACCTCCCGAGGGCGATCTGCTGAGACCCCTGGAAGGGGGCCAGGTACAGATGTGTGTTGGAGGTCACAGCTGCCCATCTGGGGGGTGCCTGTGGTCCCACCCAGCAGAGCTGAGATGAGCAGGAGCCCCCATGAGAGGTAGCCTCAGTGGCTGACACTCCTGTGGGCACTCCTTGGTGGGACAGCCCCTGTGGCCACCCCTGGCCCTCATCAGTCCCTCGACGGAGGACTGAGCGTTCCTCCACGTGGTGTCACCAGGCCTGGCCCCTTCGCCACAGCCACGCGGGGTCTGGTAGCAGCAGGGGCAGGTGTGGGCCTGACTCAGCCCTCGCCTCCCCCGAGGCCGGCTTCTGCTGTGCGCCCATCCCCATGTTTACAAGCACTCGATTTGTACTCAAGTCTCAGTGACAGAAAAACTGATGCTAATGGGAAAAATATGACTCTCTCAACAGACGCCCGCCCGGCACAGCGGCGTGAGTGCCAGGCGTCCTTGCCTGAAACAAACTGCAATTCAGTGCAGAATTCCAGGATTCCATGGCAACTGCTCGCGCCCTGCGTTCCGGCCCTGGCTGGGGCTCGGGAGCAGCCGCTGTGTCACGGGGGATCGACTTGTTTACCGGCAGCCCCAGGCACTCGGACGTGGTACCAGCTCCCCATGCCTTGGCCCTGAGGTCTGGGAGGCCCAGTGGGGCCGGTGCTTCCCCCAACCCCACTGAGCATCTCCTCGCCCTGTGCCACCCACCTGCTGCCCAAGACCCCTGAGTGTTCGTGGGCTCTGCCTGGTGGGGGGGTCTTTGGCTTGCAGACAGGGATTGGTTGGCAGCATAGTGTCCCCTAATGATGTCCACATCCTAACGACGTCCACATCCTAGTGGCAGCCTGCGACTACCTAGCTCGGGGGATCCAGGTTGTATTTGAAACGAGGGTTGGATCAGCTGACTTTAAACTAGGGAGGTGACCCTGGAGCATCCAGGGGGGCCCAGTGTAATCACAAGTTCCTTAAAAGTGGAGAAGGGGCTGGCGTGGGGCTCACACCTGCAATCCCAGCGCTTTGGGAAGCTGAGGCAGCAGGATCCCCTGAATCCAGGAGTTCGAAGCCAGTCTGGGCAACAAAGTGAGACTGAGTCTCGACTCTTTGTAAAAGTAAACAAAAATTAGCCGGGTGTGGTGGCGCATGCCTGTGGTCCCAGCTCTCAGGAGGCTGAGGTGGGAGGATTGCTTGAGCCTAGGAGGTCAAAGCTGCAGTGACCATGACACACCCCTGCACTCCAGCCTGGGTGACAGTGAGACCCTCTCAAAAAAAAAAAAAAAGTGGAGGAGGGAGGCAGGGCGGGTCAGGCTCAGTGAGGAGGTGAGGACTGGACCAGCCACTGCTGGCTCTGGAGAGAGAGGAAGGGGCTGGAGCCATGGGCTGCAGGCTGCCTCTGGGAGCTGGAACAGGTGAGAAAGGGGTCTGTCCAGGGGAGCGCAGCCCGGCCAAATCCTGGATTTTAGCCCAGTGAGCCTGAGTCTGCATCTGTGTTGCTCTCAGTGGCCACAGCTTGTGGACGTTGGTGGCCGCAGCCACAGGAAGCTTCGGGCAGAGTGGCTCTGTCATTCTGGGGACACAGGGGCCTCGAGGCCAAGGCTGTTCTCAAATCTTGGCCCTCCGTTCTCTGCTGTGCCCCCGCCCCGGCCACACCCACCCAGCCTCCATGTACCCACGTGTCCCACGGCAGGCGCTGCTGCTGTCCCCGGCCTGGCTGACCCCCACGCCTGCCCACCCTCTAAGGACCTTGTCAAGAGCCTCCAGAGGTGCTTTCCCGGCCTCTGCCCCTCCCAGGGCCACCCAGGCTGCAGTGACTGGAATAAGGGATGACATGAACACGAAGAAAGCCCTGAAGGGCCATTCAGTGCAGTGCTGAGCGAGAGAGGACGTCCTCAGGAGGCACGAGCCCTGGTGATGAGGCCGTGGTGGGTGGGGACCAGCAGGTAGCAGGCGCCGCCTCTGGGTCCCGAGCTGCCACTCCCACCAGCCTGCTCCAGGGTGGGACACGCCTTGCACAGGCGCACCTGTAGGTCCAGAGTGTGTGGCTCCCCCAGCCCCAACCCACCCCCCAGCCCGAGTGTTGGAGCAAACGTCTCTGCACATGGCCTTGGGGTGGTGTTAGGACCCAGTCACTGCCACCACCCGACAGACAGGGCTTCGGGCAGGTTACTCAATGCCTGACACCCCACATCTGGTCAGGGGACAAGAGCCTGTTCCCAAGCTCTCCAGGAAGTCAGGGCCCTGTGGTGGTGCAGAGTGGCTGACATGACCGTCCCCACAGACCCTTGTCTCCCACTCACCCTGCAGGACCATGCCCAGGCCTGTTGCCTCTGCTGTGGCTTCCAGAACATTCTCCCCAGCTGCTAACCCCTGCACAGACCTTCCTGCTTGGGAAAAGCCCCAGGGGACAGACCACGACCTGCAGACAGAGTGTGATCTAGAAACAGGAGCCTTTAAAGAATTAGCCAGACAGGGACAGGCGTGGTGGCTCACGCTGGGAGGCTGAGGCAGGTGGATCATCTGAGGTCAAAAGTTCAAAACCAGCCTGGCCAACATGGCGAAACCCCGTCTCTACTAAAAATATAAAAATTAGCCAGGTGTGGTGGTTAATTACTCATTACTCGAGAGGCTAAGGCAGGAGAATTGCTTGAACCCAGGAGGCAGAGGTTGAGGTGAGCCAAGATCGCGCCACTGCACTCCAGCCAGGGTGACCGAGACTCTGTCTCAAAACAAAAAACAAACCCAGAAAGAGTTGACCAGAGGGATGTGCAGATGTGATTAGGACTAAGGACCCGCACAACCCGAGGTGGGCGCGGCCCCAGGCCTGGAAACACTTCTGGGCTGCATCAGGAGGAGAAGTGGTGGTGGGCGCAGCTCAGAGGCCCTGAAGTGGAAGGGGCCACGAGCCAAGGAGAGCGGAGGCCTCCAGAGGTGGGGAAGTGGCTTCTCCCCCAGCAACTCTGACGTGGCCCAGATTTCAATGCAGACTTGAAAGGGGCCTCTGACTGTGAGAGGGTAACCGTCATTTTAAAGAGAAAGAAATGTGGGCCGAGTGTGGTGGCTCATGCCTGTAATCCCAGCACTTTGGGAGGCTGAGGCGGGCGGATCACGAAGTCAGGAGATTGAGACCATCCTGGCTAACACGGTGAAACCCCGTCTCTACTAAAAAAAAAAAGAAAAATACAAAAAATTAGCCGGGCACAGTGGCGGTCGCCCGTAGTCCCAGCTGCTGGGGGGGCTGAGGCAGGAGAATGGCGTGAACCCGGGAGGCAGAGCTTACAGTGAGCCGAGATCGTGCCACCGCACTCCAGCCTGGGCGACAAAGCGAGACTCTGTCTCAAAAAAAAAAAAAAAAAAGAAATGTGTCCGGCTTACGTCACAGCACAGCTCTCACCACAGAACGTGCTCCCCAACGTGGGGTCTGTGCCACAGGGCTGGGGGCACTGCCTGGGAGGAGCATTGCTGCCCAGGAGATGAGGACCGAGACCTTTGCACACCCCTCAACATGCCAGGCCCCCTATGGCTGTGGTGCCTGCCTGGAGAGTGCCCAGGATGCAGAGCTGCTGTTGGCCCTGGGGACAGCAGGGGGACCTGGGCAAGGTCCCCCCACCCCCAGCTCTCCTCTGATCTACAACCCCTGCGGTGGGGGTGGGCAGTTTTCGTAAAGACACAGCCGCCAGCCAGAGTCTGCGCGTGTTGTTTACTGTTTGTCCTGCTCTTAGCTTCACATTGCCATTTTGTGTTTTGTCAAAGTCTTTCTCAATTAGCATTGGGTAAAATAAATAGAGATAAGGAGCCTTTAGGCTGGCGCGCTCTCAAGCCCTGGTTGACGTCGTGATTGAATTTCCGCATCAGACCTGTGAAGACAGCCCACGTGCAGGTGGCACGCGGAGCCCGTGGGGGCGGCTCCAGGGCGGAGCGGGCGCAGGAGGGTCTCGTCCCCTCTGGAGCCACCTGCCTTTTGACAGGTAGTGGTTTTGTCTCAAAACAAACAGAAATGCGTGTTAGGTAAGAATCGAGTTGAAGGACTGGATGGGAAGCTGTGTGTGCGGGTGGAGCTGGGCTTCTGGAAGATTCTGGTGTTGCCGCCTGGCATGCCCTGTGAGCTGAGTGAGGCCGGGACTTGTGGGGGTTGGGGCTCTCTACACCTTCCGGACCTGGTCTGCTCGCTCGGCCCAGACGTGGGGATGGGATTCGTGCCGGAACCTTCTTCTGGTGGGAGCTCGCATTCCAAAAAAGAGCAGCGGAGCGGCCGCCTCTGTCCCACCTTGTCATGTCCCGGCCAGCCCCAGCTCAGACTCCAGCTCAGCCCCCTGAAGACCAGGTGTTTCTATGACCAAACGCAGCCAGGCACGGTTCCATCCACCCAGAATATTGGCCACGGCAGGACGCCAGTCACACCACAGGGGAGCCGGGCCTCGCCGCACCCGCTCTCACTCCCGTGGTCGTGGGCCTCTTACCGCCACAGTGAAGCCACTTGGTTCCTCCACCTCTCGATAATCCTGATTCCCGACGAACATGGAAAAAATGCTTTTCAAAATACCATCATTGCGGTTGTGTTCTGTTTGCAAAACTGCTCACACATACCCTGAGGCCCCTCCTGGGTGGGACTGTCCACACAGCTCCTGTCGGCACCACAGGCCCAGCTGCAAGCCAAGGTGGCATCAGCATGGGCGACTCAGGGCTGGAGATGGGGCTGGTGTCACCCAGAGCCGTCTAGGACCCAGCAGTGCCTCTCACCTGTGTGTGATGAACGTGTGCGGACAGAGCAGGGAGACCACGCCGCCTGCATCTGTGCCCCCAGGGTGCCAGCCGTGGTGCCCGCACATGCGTGTGCTACACCCGTGTGCGGGCACAGGCACGGAGACCACAGGCCGGGCCACCGTCCCTGCGCACGCGGGGAAGAGCAGCCCTTCGGAGGGAAAGGAGCCCTGTGGATTAAGGCAGGGGCTACACTGCCAAGGACCTGCCTCTCCTGTGCGTGGCCACTGAGGCCCCTGCTGACAGCACTGCGTGAGAAGGGCCAAAACTAGAGTCTAGAGACCTGGAGGTGCAGGAAGGGTGGGCTGTGGAGGAGGCGCTGCGCTCCTCCCGTTCAGTGATGTGGCCAGCAGCCAAGGACAGCCCGGCCCCCCGGGCGGCTTTCTTCATACCGCCAGCTAGAGGGGCGTCTCCTTCTTCCCCTCTCTTGGTTTCCCGAATTTCCAGTGTGCCCCAGCCGGCTAGGAAATGTCCCTGCTTGCGTGCACTGACTGTGAGAGGCGGTGGGCCTGGCTGGGCAGCACCTCTCGCTCGCTCTTGGCCTGATGGGGACGGCTGCTCCAGGGACCCGCAGGAGCCCCAGCGCCTGCCTCTCCTCCAGGGCTCGCTCTGGGGGTTTTGCTGCAGCTAATGCTCTGATTACATGGAAATAAAATGAGGTGTTGCCCCTTTCAACGTCTCGGAGAAACAGAACAGGAGAGGGACAGAGGCGCTGCGGCCGCGGGGGTGCACCTGGATGCTGGTGCTCAGTGGGAAGCCACTGTCAACCCAAGCCCTCCCCATCCCTGACGTTCCGGACACGACAGCGAAGACAGACAAAAGCGAGTAGCAGGGCCCTCCTGCCGTCATCAGCAGCTAAGGCAGCAGCCAACGTTCACACTGTGGGGCCGCAGCAGCCGACATCCCGCGCCCCGGCAAGTGGCAGCTTCACTATGTACAGCAGGCGGCCGTGGCCTGGTGGCCCGGGTCGCGCCGCTATCTGACGCGCTTCTCCACCGAGTACACGGAGATGTAGTAGTCGTTGCTTCCCACGGCCAGGTGAGGCTGCAAGGAGGGAGCAGAAGGGGTGGGCAGGGGTTCAGGTGCGGACACTGCGGGCCAACCCACATCCTTAGGCAGTTCCTGCCGGGGTCTCAGGAATCCCTGCGCCCGCCTCGCGCCCGGAAATGCTGGGCCGGTCCCCCCCGTCCTCTCTGCAGGGCCCATGCATGGTGCACTCCGTGAGGGGTGTGGTGCTGCCCCCGGGCCCTGCATGTTTTTTTCAGCACTGCCCCCCAGGGACAGCTCTGGGATCTAATGTCACACATGTCAGCAGAGCTGCATGCCTGAAGCCTGAAGGCATGAACGCAAGAAGGCAGGTGGGCAGGATCCTAATCTAAAGACAATGGCCTGAAGCCACGTGGGGAGGCTGCAACCAAGGCCAGAGAGCCGTGCAGGTGGGGCCCAGCTGCACAGGGGACGGGGTGAGGACTCGGTCACACAGGGGATGGGGTGAGGGTTGCACAGGGGACGGGGTGAGGACTCGGTCACACAGGGGACGGGGTGAGGGTCGCACAGGGGACAGGGTGAGGGTCGCACAGGGGACGGGGTGAGGGTCGCAGAAGGGACGGGGTGAGCGTCGCACAGGGGACGGGGTGAGGGTCGCAGAAGGGACGGGGTGAGGGTCGCACAGGGGACGGGGTGAGCTGTCCTTTGCCGGGGGCGGGGGTGAGGGGAGTGCATAAGAAGGGAGACGGGAGTGAGGAGTCGCACAGGGACGAAGAGGTGGTTGGTCACACACAGGGGCCGGGGTGAGGGCGCACGGGGCGGGGTGGCTTTGCAGGAAGGGGCATACGGGGCGGGGGGAGTCGCACAGGGGCGGGGTGAGGGCGCACAGGGGGCCCAAGGTGAGGACTTCGATGCGCACAGGGGCGGGGTGAGGAGCGCTACAGGGGCAGGTGAGGCTTAGAAGAGGCAGCGGGGAGCGTATACAGGGCAGGGTATGAGGTCGCAGAAGGCGGGGGTGAGGGAGTGTAGCACAGGGGCCCGGGAGTGAGAATTTGGTCACGGGGACGAAATTGCTTGAGGAGCCGCACAGGGGGCCAGGTGAGGGCATAGAGGGGGTGTGAGGTGAGGAGTCGCACAGAGACGAGGTGAGGAGCCGCACAGGGGGCGAGGTGAGGAGGCCGCACAGAAACAGTGAGGCTTGCCGCACAGGGAGCGGTGAGGGCACAGAAGGGGCGGGGGTGAGGGCACGCACAGGGAGGCAGGGTGAGAGAGCCGCACAGGGGGGCCGGGGGTGAGTCGCACAGGGGCGGGAGTGAGAGGGGCCACGGAGGCGGGGGGGCAGGGGCGACTTGGGGGCGAGGGTGAGGCCGCACAGGGACGGGAGTAGGCTGCGGGGATGGACACTGAGCGACCTGCCTGGAGTCCCCCAGGGATGGCTTTAGTGCAGGGTCTGAGGGCAGGTTCTGCGACCACTTGTACATGCGCCATCAATTCTTCCCAGAGTGACGAGACTGGAGCTGCTTCGGGAGATGAGTGCAGGGTGGGGCAGGGGCCTGGAGATCCTGGGCCCGGGCAAGTCTCTCACCACTCCAGGTGGCCCAGTGGACCCCGCATGGTGGCGAGGTGCCCAGGCAGGACCCCTGCTGTCTGGCCCCCTTGCCTCCCATCCTAGCCTGGCCCCCACAGCCCCAGCCCCACCCGCCGCTGGCCCAGTGTGGGTGGAAGGCCAGGCTGCCAGCTGAGGCGCCCGACCCTTTAGCCCATGGCTTGTCGTGAGCACTTGATGTTGTTGATCAGCTACGCCGCCCCGACGAATGGCGGTAGACAGTGGCATTTCCACTGTGGGAAAGTCCCAGCCCTCTCTCTGAGGATGGAAAGAAAGACAGGCGCACAGGGGACGGGGTGAGGGCCACAGAAGGGACGGGGTGAGGGCCGCACAGGGGACGGGGTGAGGGCCGCACAGGGGACGGGGTGAGGGCTGCACAGGGATGGACACCCTGAGCGACCCTGCCTGGAGGTCCCCAGGGATGGCTTTAGTGCAGGGTCTGAGGGCAGGAGCTCTGCCCGACCACTGTGCATGCGCCATCAATTCTTCCCAGAGTGACGAGACTGGAGCTCTGCTTCTGGGGTGAGTGCAGGGTGGGGCAGGGGCCCTGGAGATCCTGGGCCCCGGGCAAGTCTCTCCCTCAGGTGGCCAGTGGACCCCACTGTGGTGTGGGGTGCCCAGGCAGGACCCCTGCTGTCTGGCCCCCTTGCCTCCCATCCCTCGCCCCTGGCCCCCGGCCCCCAGCCCCCAGCCCCCACCCGCCGCTGCACTGACCCAGTGTGGGTGGAAGGCCAGGCAGCTGATGGCGCCGACCCGCTGGCCCATGAAGCCGTCGTAGTACTTGATGTTGTTGATCAGCTCGCCGCCCCCATTGTAGATGGCGGTGAACTGATTGACGGAGCCACTGTGGGGAGAGAAAGGGTCCCAGTGTCACTGCCCTCTCCTCTGAGGATGGAAGAAAGACAGGTGCACAGGCCGAGACTGCAGGGACAGGCTGGCTCGGGGCAGGTGTGACCCTCTGGTCACTCTCACTGAGGACTCGGGCCTAGCAGAGATCTTTTGTTTTTATGTCCCAACAGCAGTGAAATCCTCCCCTGCCCTCCTTCAGCTCCTGTGGGGCAGGCACACAAGAGCCTCGTGTTTGCACAGAGGCCGGAGGCGGGGAGCGGGGAGGCCAGGGAGGCGGCGCCTACCATGCGATCAGGTCCGCCTGGGGGTGGATGTCCAGGGCTGTCAGCCCCTTCACGATCTGAAGCACATTCACTGACTCGGGCATCCGGGGATCAAAGATGCGCACGTCTCCGTTGACGCTGCCAAGAGAGGGTCACGGTGACACCTCCACCCGGAGCTCCCAGGAGGGGCCTGACCGGGGGACGGCGGAACCGGGTGTGGGGGTCGCACGCCTGTTTGCACACACACTGCTCAAGGAAAAGGCTGCCTGGATGCTCAGCGCCCCCCCGTGAGGCTGCCCAGGCGGGGCCCAGACACGCCCCCGCACTGGTCTCAGGGCCAAGGCTGCCCCTCGAGCTCCCTCAGAGCCAGAAAAGGCCTGGAGCTTTCCAGCCTAGAGAAATGGCCACGAGCTCAGACGCAGGAGGCGGCTGTGAGCTACTGGTTTCATTTCCAGCCAGAGATTAGATTTCATGCAACAGGGGCCTGCAGTCCCGGGAGACAGAGCCTAGATGGCGGGCTGCGGCCTGAGGGATGGCCTGGCCCTTCTGAGGCCCCGTGGCTCCTGCCTTCCACCCTAGCAGGTGTCCATCCCGAGAGTTATGTCTGGTTTTTATATCACAAACAAGGGGGGAAAGAGCATCTCTTTGAAGAAACGCTGGCTTTGTGTTCATAAATTACATTCTGCTCTCCCTTTAACAGGCAAATAAATATTCCCTGCTCTTGGTGCTGTATTCACCAAGCAGCAGAACTGAGTTTACGTGCAGACAACTGCCACATGCCTGGCGGATGCGCCGCCCCTGCCGCTCGGCCACCCCTGCTGTGGAGGGAGAGCCGCTGCCCAGCTCCCCCCGGACCCTCCGCGCGGCAGCCCAGGAAAGTTCCCACAGCGCCTGCAGGTCAGGTGTCCCCCAGCAGGGGGAGCAGCCGCGGCCCTGGGCCCCTGGGGGCTGTGCCTGACCTTTCTGGCCAGTTCCAGGGCAGGAGTTAATTACTGCCCGAAATGCCATCCCCTTTCAGCTGTTTAAATACCAAGGACATATTTTAAAAGGAGGGGAAAATAATGTTTTTACAGCAGAACGGCTGCTAACTATCGGTGCTCCTCACCTCACGCTCACGATGTGGCCGTCGGGGCGCTTCTGCAGGGAGGCCTTCACCACCCAGGCTGTGTGCTCCCGGTACGTCATGACGCGGCTGCAGGGGAGGGGGCGCGCTCAGCGTGGGCTTCCCCGAAGGACGTCCCCACCCTTCGGGGCTCTCACCGGGGGCTGCCCAGTTCTGCCTGTGCCAGCGGGTCCGCACCAGGGACTGCCCATGTCCCCAGCAGGAGCAGCCGCGCCCTGGGGCTCCCTGGGGCTGTGGCTCGAATCTTTCGGCCAGTTCCAGGGCAGGAGTTACCATGCCCGAAATGCCATCCCCTTCAGCTGCTTAGAAATACCAAGGACATATTTTAAAAGGAGGGGAAAATAATGTTTTTACAGCAGAACGGCGTTGGACCATCGGTGCTCACCTCACGCCACGAGGCCGCCGGGCGCTCTTTCTGCAGGGGAGGCCTTCACCACCCAGGCTGTGTGCTCCCGGTACGTCATGACGCGGCTGCAGGGGGAGGGGCGCGCCTCAGCGTGGGCTTCCCGAAGGACGCCCCCACCCTTCGGGCTCTCACCGGGGCTGCCCAGTTCTGCCTGTGCCAGCTGTGGTCCGCACCAGGACTGCCCACGCCTGCCCGTGCCAGTGGTCCGGCACCAGGACTGCCCTGCCTGTGCCATGGTCCACACCAGGACTGCCCACGCCTGCCCAAGGTGTCAGTGGGTCCGCACCAGGACTGGAAATGCACGCTCTGCCTGTGCCAGGGGTCCGGCACTGTGACTGCCCACATCTGCCTGTGCCAGCGGGTCCGCACCAGGGACTGCCCATGTCCTCGCCTGTGCCAGGCGGTCTGCAGGCCCTCGCCTGTCTGCTCCCCAGGAGGAGCTAGTGCCCACGCAGGGTCAGAGCCCCCTCCAGGTGACCTGCTCCAGCAGAGACCCCCTGTGTCCTCCCCAGGCCGGCTCAGGGCTGGGCCCTAGGTCACCGTCAGGCCTCTGGAGGACTGTCTGAGCCACATGGGAGCTGCCCAGGAGGTGGCAGGCAGTGGCAGTATTCTGTTTAGGTGAGCACAGAGGTGGCAGGTGTCTGGCTGGGGCCCCCGCCTCACCCCGATAGCCTTTGCCTCCAGTCCACTGGCTCATCCCACACGGCCTGTACCCTGTGCTCCTCCACAGGCTGTGGGATGGGCCTCTGTGGGGGAGCCCTCTGTGGGATGGACCTGTGTGGGGGAGCCCTTTGTGGGATGGGCCTCTGTGGGGGAGCCCTTTGTGGGATGGGCCTCTGTGGGGGAGCCCTTTGTGGGATGGACCTCTGTGGGGGAGCCCTCTGTGGGATGGGCCTCGGTGGGATGGGCCTGGCGGTTTTGGGGAGCCCAGCAGGACTGGCGTAAATACTCCATTGTGGGCTCCTGGGAAGCTTTGCATCTCACTGAGAAACCTGGACCCAACCAACTGGCAGTGACACGGCCTCTACCACCTAGAAGGCACCCTGCCACCACTGGGGGAGGGAGAGGACAGGGCCAAGGTACCATTCGCTGAGTGCCATCCTTCTGTCATAGACGCGGATGGAGCCATCACCGAGGCCAGCCACGATGAGTGAGCGGTGGGAATCACAGGACAGACTCGTCACGCAGCTGTCTGCTCCCGTGGGGATGTCCTAGGGCCAAACACAGGCAAACACAGGAGCCCGGTGAAGACCTGGGCACTGAGCTGCCCTCCCTGCTGTCCTGCAGTACCAGGACCCCTCTTGCTGCCTCCCTGGCTGTGGGGATCCCCCTCCCTGGCTGCAGGGGCCTTTCTCTTTATCCAGGGAAGCATCAAAGGCCCAGGGAGCCCAGGAGTCCCAGGGAGAGGCAGGGGCTGGCAGGGCACTGAGTCACACCCTTGTCTGTTGGCCTTGGAGGGACAGCCCTGGGCGCCTGGGCCCCAAGCCAGTGAGGCAGAGCCCAGCCCCACCCCGAGCGGCGGCCTGCAAACGCCTCTGGGAAGGACTGGCTGTCAGTGCCAATTAAACTTCCAACCTCTCTCTGCTTCCTAAAAAGGAAAGCAAAGCACATTTTGGCAAGGACTCCTCACTGGCTACTTCTCAGAACTTCTAATGAGCTACGGGATGAGTCCAGGAGGGGTCGCCTGGCTCCCTCGGGGGCTATAAGTGCTGGAGAAGTGGGGGTGGGAGGCGATGGCACCTGCCAGGGACGCAGGAGGAAAAGGGCCACGAGAGGGAGAGCGCTTTCCATGCATGAAGGGCGGTGCTGGGCTGTGTACTCCAGGAGGAAACCCAGGCGTGGGGACGATGGGGCCGGACCCCTGCGAGGGGCAGAGGTGGCTCTGGGAACACCTGCTGCGCTCTGTGCCTCCACGCACCTCTGCAGGAACAGCACCTGCCCCGCAGGCCACCCAGGCCTCTAAGCCCCAACTGGTGACCAGACCCTGGGGATCAGGGTGTCCACGCTGTGCCCTGAGGGCCATGTCTCGTGTGGAGCCACAGTTCCAGGCAGGCCCAAGACCCCTCCACCCCAAAGAAGGTGCCATGAAAGCTGCTGGTGCCTTGTGGGATCCGTGGTCAGGTCAGAGGAGACGCTGCCCACAGGGAGAGGCCTGGGCCAGGTTCTCGGGCTGCTGCTGCCCAGAGCAACCACAGCGGCTTTGAGCAGCTGAGGGTGCCCAGGCCTCCCCTCTGCTGGGCCTGCACCACACCGCCCTCTACGGCAGGGCTGAGCCCTCCCTTCTGACACCAGACGGCCTGGGAGAGAGGCTGGGGACGGCCTCTGCTCCGCACCTCTCCCTGGGGACCCGGAGGAAGGGAATCCTGGCTCTAAAGCCACCTCAGGCACTGTCCCTCACAGTATCTGTGGTCTCGCCTCTGCTCCAAACGAAGTCAATGCAGTTAGATTTCTGCTGAGCGCGGCCTCCTTAGGTCTCTACCACTTTTCCAGGCTGTTTTGGGCAAAACCAATGTACTCTGCTTTTTGTCAAAACTGAAAATAACAGATGCTTTAAGAGGCAAAGAGGCTTCTGGCCAGGCGCAGTGGCTCACGCCTGTAATCCCAGCACTCTGGGAGGCTGAGGTGGGTGGATCACGAGGTTAGGAGATCGAAACCATCCTGGCTAACACGTGAAACCCCATCTCTACTAAAAATACAAAAAAAATTAGCCGGGCGTGGTGCAAGCGCCTGTAGTCCCAGCTACTTGGGAGGCTGAGGCAGGAGAATGGCGGGAACCCGGGAGGTGGAGCTTGCAGTGAGCTGAGATCACACCACTGTACTCCAGCCTGGGCGACAGAGTGAGAGTCCGTCTCAAAAAAAGAAGCAAAAAGCCTTCTGTAGTGGCTCACACCTGTCATCCCAGTGCTTTGGGAGGCCAAGGCAGGAAGATTGCCGGAGCCAGGAATTCGAGACCAGCCTGGGCAAATACTGAGACCCCCGTCTCTACAAAAAGTTTAAACAATTAGCCAGGCGTGGGGGCGCGTGCCTGTAGTTCCAGCTACTTGTGGGGGTGAGATGGGAGGATCACGTGGACCAGGAGGTTGAGGCTGCAGTGAGCTGTGACTGCACCACGGCACTCCAGCCTGGGTGACGCAGGGTGACAGAGTGAGACCCCATCTCAAAAAAACAAAAACAAACAAAAAACCCTACAAATAATCATTCTAATTTACAACGGCTCACCCTACTGATTTCTGACATTCCTTAACTTGCAGAGAGAAGACCCTACTTGAAAACACTCAGAGCTGGCACAGGCTGAGCCACACTAGCGCGGGGCTGAACGCTGCGGTTCACCTGCATCCACCGGACTCAGGCAGCCCATGTCTCCTCCCGGCATTGCCCAGCACTGTCCTTCCAGGCCCTGCCTCCGCCCCCGGGACGGCCAGGCCTCACCGCACACTGTGCTGGGCTCTGTGATGAGGACCAGCCCTGCACACACTGCCCCACAGGCCTGGGGCTTGGGGGACACCCACATGGTTACCTGCACCTTCATCTCACGGTCTGTGTCCCAGATCCGGACGATCCGCACGTCCCCCGAGCTCATGAGGAGACCGGTCTCCTGCTCCCAGTCCACCACCATCCCAGCTCCTGGAAAGACACAGTGGGACATGGCGTCACCCCGTGGGCCCTCGCCTTGGGCAGGCTTTGGGGCCTGCTCTGGGCAGCCACTTGGCCAGTGGCTCCAAGGAACCCCTGCCACCACTGAGCCCATCTGGTGGGTCCATATGCCTCACATGAGCTCCTGCTGGGGCCCCTGGTGTGCCCCACGTCCAGGCTGGGGCGACAATTCTGAGCTGGAACTCCAAGCCTTCCCCTGACTCGCCTATGACCCAGGCATCTGCTAGAGGGAGCAGTGCCTTCCAGGAACGGCGATCTGCGTGCCCGCCGTCTGGAGCAAGAGCACTTCCAGGAACGATCTCAGTACCCACCATCTGGACACCTGGGCAGAACTGGTAAGGTCTCATTGGCTGGGAAGGCTGTCAAGGCTTGAAGATGAGGGTCCTCTCTGGACACCTGGGCAGAACTGGTAGGTCTCGGTGACTTTAGGAAGGCTGTCAAGGCTTGAAGATGAGGGTCCTCCTTTTGGCCCTGTCAAAGCTGGAGGAGGCCAGTTCTTCTGAGACAAACAGGAGCTCAGCATGGGCCACGGGCTGGCAGACTCCAGACAGCCAGGGGCTGACTCCTGACGGCCGGCGTCAGCAAGAGATGGACGGAGAGAACGGGGCAAGGGCTGCCCTTTGTGCAGGGATTAGACAGAGCAGAGCAACCCCACCTCACGTGACGGCCTCTATTTAAAACCAGATTCAGTTCTAGAAGTGTAATGGTAACTATTTTAAATACAGAAAGGAACACCACAGTAATCCTTGACCCACCACTCAGCTCTAACTTTGCTAACTTTTTACCATTGTTTGCTCTTTTTTTTTTCTCAGAGAAGCATAATTTTAGACACAGTAAACGCATCGTCTGCCTCTGCCCCTGCCCGTGCCTGGGAGAGCCATCCCGTGGGCTGAGGGCGCCCCCCAGGGGCCGCTGAGGTTCTCCTGCTTACGCACGCCCATCGACGACGTACCACGCCTTCCACATTTCAAAAAGGCTCTTCAATGTCAAAATGGGGCCTCCCTTCTGGCGACTTGCTTCTTTACTGTTAGGCTTTGAGGATTTATCTGGCCCAAGACACACAGCTCTGGTTAACTCATTTAATCTTGTGTTACCTTCCACTGTACAACTAACCCCGTCATTTGAGCTGCCCCTGGCTTTGTGAACCATGTCACAGTCAACGACTTCACGTGTCCTTGCAGGTGGAGAAGGAAGCGCCTAGAAGCGGAACTGCCAGTTGTGCGTCTTGCATGACTCCGATCTCCCCAGGGAAGGCCATTTCATTTCCCAAATGGGTGACCATCTACACTCCTGGCAGGACACACACAAGCCAGTGTCCCCAAATCCTTATTGATGTGTGGTGGTTGCCGTTTTTTTCACATCAGACAGTCGCACATATTTTTATATATATTCTGTAACTCATAGATACTGCAAATATCTTTTCTTATTCTGCCACTTACATTACAACCGTGACGTTTTTCTTGTAGTCATGAAGAAGTTTGTAGAGTCAAACCTATCGACGTCTTTACCCTCGGTCTCCTGTTCAAGCTGTCGTTTTGTTCCTCACGGTTATGAAGATTTCCTCTTGATTTTTCTTTGAAAGGGTTAGGTCTCTCGCTGATATGTTGTGTGCATAGTGTGAGATAGGGGTGTCACCGCATCTTTTTCCATAGGGCACTAGCTGTCCCAACACCATTTAGCAACATGGCTCCTCCCGCAGTGTGCAGAGGTACCCTGTCATTTGTGGCCCTTCTGGGCTCACTGCTGCGCTGAGGGCCCTGGTGCCTCTTGGCCCAGCTGCCCTGCAATTCCAGCTTCTTAATGCCGTCCACGCCTCTTCAATATTACCTCGGCTGGTCTGCATTTTATAAAAATCTCTCCTGGGAATATAATCAGAAGGGTATGAATAAATGCACAGATTAATTTGAGAACTGCCAGTCTCACGATGATGAGTCTTTTCATCCACGGCTATGGTGCTGTCAACACTGCATGGGTCTTTTATAGTCTTCATTTAGAGTTTATGCTTTGATGTGTGAAGAAGGAGCATGTGTTGGATTCATTCCTAGGTATTTTGCAGTTTTTATTCCCGTGGTCCATGATTTCTTTCTTTCTTTCTTTTTTTTTTTTTGAGATGTAGTCTTGCTCTTTTGCCCAGGCTGGAGTGCTATGGTGTGATCTTGGCTCACTGCAACCTCTGCCTCCCAGGTTCAAGTGATTCTCCTGCCTCAGCCTCCTGAGTAACTGGGATTACAGGCGCCTGCCACCACGTCCAGCTAATTTTTGTATTTTTAGCAGAGAAGGGGTTTCACCATGTTAGTCAGCCTGGTCTGGAACTATTGACCTCAGGTGATCCATCTGCCTTGGCTTCCCAAAGTGCTGGGATTACAGGTGTGAGCCACCACGCTTGGCCCATGATGTTTTATAATTACATTTTCTAGTTGTTAATTGCTGGCATACATACATTCTTTATTTTACTTTTGAAATGCAGTCCCAGGCCAGATGTGTTTACACCTGTAATCCCAGCACTTTGGGAGGCCGAGACAGGAGGACTGGTTAAGCCCAGGAGTTCAAGACCAGCCTGGGCAACATAGAAAGACCTTGTCTTTACAAATAACAAAAGATTAGCCAGTGTAGGCCAGGTGCAGTGGCTCACACCTGTAATCCCAGCACTTTGGGAGGCTGAGGCGGGTGGATCACTTGAGGTCAGGAGTTCGAGACCAGTCTGGCCAACATAGTGAAATACCGTCTCTACTAAAAATACACAAAATAGCCGGGCATGGTGGCAGGTGTCTGTAATCCCAGCTACTCAGGAGGCTGAGGCAGGAGAATTGCTCAAACCCGGGAGGCGGAGCTTGCAGTGAGCCAAGATCCGCCATGGCACTCCAGCCTGGGCAACAAAAGTGAAACTCCGTCTCAAAAAAAAAAAGACTAGCGGTTGTGATGGTGGCGCCTGTGAACCAGCTACTCGGGAGGCTGAGGTGGGATGATCGCTTGAGCCCAGGTAGTTGAGGCTGCAGTGAGAGCAAGACCCCATCTCAAACACAAACATAAACACAAACAAAAACAAAAAAGGAAGTGTAGTCCCTCTACTGTGATACAACTGAATCCAGGCAGGAAGAAATGTCCCAGCAGGTCAGAAGCACGAGCCGTGGTGGATCACAGGCTCTCAACTTGCAGCCCTGTTCCTCCACTGGGAGCTGGGAGTGAGGGCCCGTGTGTGACCTCAGGGAGCCCAGAGCTGTGCCTGGTGGCCCCAGCCCACAGCTGACACGGCCTTCGGGGACTGGGGCCTGGAGCTCTTATGCCTAGCGAGATGCCTCTGCTGCCTTCCCCTGTGGCGAGAGCCTCGTTCTCTGACCCCAAGACCCATGAAGCGCAGCACAGGCTCCTGCTCCGAAGGAAGCACTGGGGGGTCTGGGCTGAGAAGGCCACTTCTCCTCAGGGCTGCTTCCTGATCTGTAAGCTGGGTTCCGCTGTCCTGACCCGGACAGACTGAGAGCCCGTGGGACGGCACAGGCTGCAAGTCTAGTCTCCTGCAGCGTGGCCCAGGAGTGGACGTGTGGATGCTTCTGGGGGGTCTCAGGGACCCCGGGGCCAGCCGGGAGTGGACGTGTGGATGCTTCTGGGGGTCTCAGGGACCCTGGGGCCAGCCTGTGGGTGCATCCTTCCAGCACTGCATTTCTGGCAGGTCCGAGCCTTGGACAGGGTGGGAAATTTTCACAAAAGCCAACAAGAGAAAGGGCAAAGCAGAGCCAGGGCTCAGCCAGGCGCTCCCGTGCTGAAGCCCAGCTCCTTCCACGGCACCCCTGCCTCTGAGCGACCCCAGTGATCTTTCCTCTCTAGCAAATGACACAGTGTCACCAAACTTGGTCTTTCGGAGACGCACACAGTGGCCAGTGAGTGGTCTGACCCCCAGGCTGGCCATCCAGCTGTCTCCCGGGACCCCTCCCGGACCAAGGTCCTGGGTTGGGGCTCACTTCTCCTGCCCTGTCCCAGGGAAGCTGTCATACCCCAGAAGAGGGTTGCCTCATGGGGGAAGCAGAGCCCAGAGATCAGGACAAAAGCAACAGGAAAGGGCCTCCGTGGAGTGTGGGGTGTGGATGGTTTATTCTGCTGGATGAAACTTAAGAACACGGCTACATTAAAAAAAAAATCCAACATTCCAGGAAATGTCCACCCTGGAGCTGTCCCCATGACGTCCCCTGAGGCACATGAGGGTTGGCATCTCCTGGGACAGGCGCTTGGACAGAAGGGCAGAGACAGAGCCACGTGACCTAGGGCAGAACCAGGGCAGGCCCCACACGGACGGCTGACCACAAGGTGTAAGGCCACATCCACAGGCTACAGACGAAGACAGAAATCACAAACCAGCAGGAACCGGCAGAGGGGGGCTGGCAGGGTAACCATTCACTCAGCATCGCCAAGGGCTGCAGGATCCGCTGAAGGGCGATGACTCCTAGAGGTGAATGCCTGGCGCTGCGGAGGGGCCTCTGGAAATCCAGACTCCAAAGCCTGACCCTGGGAGCCTCCTACTCCGCCTGAGTCCTTCCAGAACGACCTGCGGGCCCATGCCCCGGCCCTCGTCCAGGCCATGCAGCAGTGCAGGCAACACGCAGAACTGTACCCAGAGCCTAACTCCGCCTGAGTCCTTCCAGAACGACCTGCGGGCCCGTGCTCCAGCCCTCGTCCAGGCCATGCAGTGGTGCAGGAAACACGCAGAACTGTACCCGAGCTGACACTGCAGCCACTCCGTCCCCGCAGCCTGGGCAGGCCAGTGAGTGCATGAGGCCCGGTGGCCATGTGCACCGACCAAAGAGGAGTTAAATTTGGGCCCAAAGAGCGCGTGACGCAGGTCCTTTAGGCCCTGCCAGCAGTGATACTGTCCCAAGCAGCACATGTCTGCAAGCCACGGATGAAGGTTGGGGACAGGGGCACCCACGAGTGGCTGACCATGCCCAGGGCTGGGACTCCGGCCAGGCAGTGCACTCAGGGCCCTGGGGCTCACATGCTTTCGGGGACATTGGTGGGGAGCTGCTGCTTTAGGATTCTGGGGACTCTGAGGTGGAGCAGCCTGTGTAGAGACAGCCCCAGAAGGGCCTTGGAACTTTGAGAGTGCCTGCAGCCCTGGAGCACATTCTGCTGCGGGGAGGAGCAGGGCGGACCCACCTCGTGTTGTTGGCAGCATGTCCGAGAGCCCCTGCCACGCGGTCACCATCTCTGGGTTCTTTTCCAAATCAGCAAAATTCTTCCAGACCCTGATGGCACCGTCGTCTGGGGAGGGAGAGAGGGAAGAATGGGAACCAGGCCCGGCGCTGGCCCGGCCTGTGCTCTGTGTGTGGGGGTAAGAGGCCTTCCTGGTAGACGTGCTGCAGTGACCCTGGGCAGGCAGCTTGACTTGCTACCCATGGTTCCAGATCTCCGGGTGCCTGCCGACTCGACTCTGCCCTCAGACCCACAGCTGGGTGAGCCAGGAGGAGGAGTCGCAGCCTGGGGGATGGGAGACCACAATCCTGTCCCACCCTGGCCACAGAGCTCAACTCCGAGTGAGGTTTGGCTGCCCTGGGACCTGGCGCTGCCCCTTCCTCCCTCCAGCTCTAGGGCATCGGGTTCCCTGGTGGGGAGGCAGGCGGGCAAAGCTTGGTTGGGTGGGTGGGGCTGCGTTTTACCCTCTGGTGAGCCAGCCTGTGCCAGGAAGCAGAACGAAAGGCCAGCTTCACAGAGGACACCTGCACCCTCCGCCCCGTTCCTCTCTGTGCTCCAAAAGAAAGCAGCCTTGACTTGAAGGGACAATGCAGACATCTGGACTCTCTGCCTAAGATGCGGGCGTGGACGCCGTGCCCTGCTCCTAGGGGCTTAGAATGGAGCAAACGGCCCTCTGTGTCCTCCAGCAGATGCGCAGGGAGGTCAGCTTGGGTGTGGGGAAAGCATGTGGGTCCTCTGAGCCTTCCGGGAACCCCGCCCCCTGGCCTTGCCAGACCCTCCTGAGTGGCCCTCAGGTGCTCTTCAGGCCCCAAGCTGATTGGCCTGGTGGACAACGGCCTCGCCTCCACCCGCCTGCCTGTTCCACTCTCCGCTCTCCACCCCACAGCACACGCTCCCAGTTCTGGAGCCCGTGGCCTTCTCCTGCTGTCCGGAGCCGGCTCTGTAAAGGACCCCGGCCCGGCTCCAATGCCTGCTCTCTCAGCCAAGGAACTGCCCTCTCCCTCTAGTGCTCCGAGATGCTCACATCTGGCCTCTCTGAAACCGTGGGCTGAGCCTGGCTGGTCCCTTGCCCTCTCCGCCCCAACTATACATCTCCTCCCGGTCACATCTGACAGCTACAGGGACAAGGACGGGCTTTTGACATGGGTTGATGCTACTTGGTCCTGAGGTGGCAGTGCTTGGAGGAGGCGCTGCATGAGGACACATCCCCATGGCCACGCCCCTCACCAAGAGCCCACAACCATGCTGAGGGCTGCGCACTTGCCAGGACAACCAACTCGACACTCTCAGAGGCTCAGGTGTCCAGGGGCTGGAGCCGACAGGAACAGGCTGGGTGGGATCTGGGTGTCTGCCTTCACTTCTCTCAGCTGTGCTAGCCTCTCCCGCCTGCCTCCCAGCCAGTGCTCTCCAATCTCTACAGGATGTACTGTGTGACTGACAGCGACTTCTCATCAGTGACAGGCAATAGACGCATGTTTTTAAAGCGCTAAAGAAAAACGACTGTCAATGTAGGGTAACTGACGTGGAAACGATTGTTCCAAAGTGAGAGTGAAACTAAGACATTTCAGACCCCCTCCAAAAAAAAACCCCTCAAAACCCAAGAAAACCAAAACCAGAGTGAGACCCACTATGGCAATGAACCACTGGTCAGTGACCATGACGGTCAACGATGTCCTTTCGGGCACAGGACGGGACTGGAGGAGGGTGACTGCCAGCTCCCGGCGGGGACAGCAACTGGCAAATGAGCCAGTGATGCCAGGAGACCAGCCGGGGAGGACCTGGCACGTGTTGTGGCTTGGGGCATCCTCCCTGATTCTCGGGTGTCACGTGGGACCCACCCGGTCTCTCACAGCGGTTTAAGGACAGAGGCTGTTCCTGGTGCTGGAAGAGCCAGAGGACTGAGATGAGAAGACAAGTCCCTGGAACCCTGAAGGACAGGGTCATCTTTGCTTTCCTGTCTGTGCTGCTGAAACCCTTCCCTCATATACCTCCCACGTCGGAATGAGCAGGGCTTTCTGTAAGACAGATGTGCAAACACATCTCAGGATCGCACACCCTCCCTGCCACTCCTCCAGACTCCGGGTTCCGATCCCGGCTGTGCAAAGCCCGCTCACCTGTGGCCGTCAGCAGGAGTGAGCAGTCCTGACCGTTCAGATACTCCATGGCAGTGACCCTTGTGTACCGAGGGTTCCCATTGTGGAAATAGTCCAGTTTCTCCCCTTTCTCCCAGTCCCAAAAGCTTAAGGGAAGAAGAGAGGAATAAAAAGGTCATTAGGAAACTGCAAACCCAAATGACAGTGAGATACCTCCTGAAACCCACCGGGATGGCTGCTATCAAAAAACCACACACTACAGCCGGGCACGGTGGCTCACACCTGTCGTCCTAGCTACTCGGGAGCCTGAGGCAGGAGGACTGTTGGAGCCTGGGAGCTCAAGATCAGCCCGGACAACAAAGTGAGCCCCTGTCTCCAAACAAACAAACAAAGAGAATAATGGTGCTGGCAAGGATGCGAGAAATCGGAGCCACAGGCTGTGTGGGTGGGAAGGGAAGAGGATTTCCTGTGGAAAACAGCCTGGTGGTTCCTTCGAAAATTAAACAGAGCATCACCATATGGTCCAGCAATTCCACTCTGGGCGTATCCCCAAAAAACAGAAAGCAGGGACTTGAACAGATACTTGTACACCAATGTTCACAGCAGTGTTATTCATGATAGCCAAAAGGTGGAAGCTGCCCAGGTGTCTACGAACAGATGAGCAATGAGACAAAGTGTCGTCTGTCCGTCCACACAGTGGAATATTACTCAGCCAGGAAAAGGAAATCCTGACGTGCTATAGCTTGGGGGAATCTTGAAGACACTACGTTGAGTCCAATAAGCCAGGCACAAAGGGCCAAATTGCGGGTGATTGCACTGGTATGAGGCTCCTAGCGTGGGCCACTTCAGAGAGACAGAAGGTAGAACACTGGCTCAGGTGGATGCAGGAATGGGGAGCTGGTGTCTGATGGGGACCAAGTTTCAGTTTTGTGCAATGAGAAGGTTCTGGAGACCAGTGGGGGTGACGGTCGCATAACAATGTGAATACGCTTCATGCCACTGGCTGTGCACTCAAAACGGTTACAATGGCAGATTTTAGGCTATGTATGTTTTACCACAGTTTTTAAAAAGAGAGGAGAAAGAAATGGAGGTGCGAACCACAGGGATTTTACAAACTCTAAACTCTAAAGGGAACCCTTCCCACTGTCCTCCCCGATGAAGCGGGTCATCTCTCCATCACGTAAGGGCGATACTTGCTGTGGGTTAAACTCGCTTCTCTCCTGGGGCACCTAGCGTCTTCTCACTGCTTGTCTATCACATACTTGCTTCTGCGGGCAGGGCAGCAAGCCGGGCCCCCTGTGTACACCTCTATTACAAGTGGGATCGGGGAGCCCCTGCCACTCCTCTGTGACCTCCCTCTGGACTGTCTTTCAGTGACAAGGACAGAGCCAGGCCCGGGGCAGGTGTGGGCGGGGCTCGGTCAACGAGGAGAAGGTGAGTAGGGGCGTTTCTCGGGAAACAGTGCTAAGGGCCTCGGGGTGAGTGTCTTGCATCGGCTTTTCAAGGAAGAGGAGTGGTGATCGGGGTGAACAGGGCATCGCTGGGGCTGCCGGTCAGCCAGAAGGGAGGTCCGACAAGCACGGTGCATACCAGATGCTGTCCTTGTCGGCTACGGCGATGCACGGTGTGAAGGGGTGGAACTTCACCACAGAGGGGACGCCGGGATTCCTGTTCAGAAATATCTGGTCGTCCAATCTCGTAATGCCTGTCAAAAGAAACACCAAAGAGTGGATTCAGGAGCCAGCGTCTTTCCCCCCCCCCTTTTTTTTTTTTTTTTGAAAGACAGAGTCCTATTCTGTCGCCCTGGCTGGAGTACAGCGGTGCGATCATGGCTCACTGCAGCTTCCACCTCCTGCTTAAGCGATCCTCCCGCCTCAACTGCACGTAGCTGTGGGTACAGGCGTGTGCCACTACACCTGGCTGCTTTGTTTTTTTGTTGAGACAGGGTCTTACTAGGTTGCCCAGGGTAGTCTCAAATTCCTGGGCTCAAGCGATCCTCCCACCTCGGCCTCCCTAAGTGTTGAGATTATAGGCATACTCCCAGCCAGTCTTTTTTGTTTTTTTTTTTTTTTTGAGATAGAGTCTTGCTCTGTCACCCAGGCTGGAGTGGCGAGATCTTGGCTCACTGCAACCTCCGCCTCCCAGGTTCAAGTGATTCTCCTGCCTCAGCCTCCTGAGTAGCTGGGATTACAGGTATCCACCACCATGTCCAGCTAATTTTTGTATTTTTAGTAGAGATGGGGTTTTGCCATGTTGGCCAGGCTGCTCTCGAACTCCTGACCTCAAGTGATCCACCCACCTCGGCCTCTCAAAGTGCTGGGATTACAGGCGTGAGCCACCGTGCCCAGCAAGCCAGTCTTAATTTACAATAAATATTCACAATGTATCTTATCATGGCCGACGTCAATACCTTGTGGACGTGGAGAGGCACAAAGGAAGCAGAAGAAAAGCAGGGACTGAAGGGAGGGGCCTGACCACCCGCTGAGGGGCAGGCACGTCTGGGCTCTCGGGCGACGGCAGCCACTGAGTTCCCAGAGTGAGGGCCCAGGGCCCTGGCCGCAGGGTCCATGCCTTTGCTCAGAACCCCCAAAGCTCCTGATGCCGAGTTGGATACGTGGAAACATTCAGCCGATGCTTGTCAGCAGTGGTCAGGTTCATATAAATTATTTGAGTCGGATTATATGAAGAAAGTGCTGAAGGTTTCAGAATAAGCTGGGTAGGGCTCTGATTCGTAACAGACTTAAGGAGGAGACACAGGTGTGGCCATCAGGATCCACACTGCAGCCAAACTCTGGGGGTCTTTCAGTCTAGAAAGATGACAACTCAGAAATTCCTTGATTGAGGGATCTATTACAGAATCACAGATTTAACAGAAGAGGGGAACGTGGACTTCACCACCAGGCCCCCAAACACGAGCACTAGGAAGTAGGTCGCTTGTGACTCTGAAAGGCTTTGTTCTAGAAGGAACCATAAAAGGAAGCTAAAAATGCAGAGGGCGTCAAGATGGATCCAACACATCTTGGTGACTGAGTGGGCAGCGGGGGGTCTGTGGGTGCACAAGCCTGATTGTCTGTTGCAGTGCCAGGGACACAAGCCGGGCTGCCTCCTGGCCTTGGCTGTGGTCACCTGCGTGGCCTCTGGGCAACCAAGAGGGTGTCTTGGGGACCCCCAAGCCTTCCTCAGCTGGAGACACAGCTCTAGGTGGTACAGAGCGAAGCCACCTGACTTTTACTAACCATGTCCTCACCTGAACTTCTGGTCTGGCCCGGAGGACCGCGTGACCCGCGTGACCCGGAGGACCACGTGACCCGGAGGACTGCGTGCCGGAGGACCGCGTGACCCAGAGGACCGCGTGACCCGGAGGACCGTGTGACCCGGAGGACCACGTGACCTGGAGGACCGAGCCGGCCTCAAGTCTTCCTTGTGGGGAGTGGTAGGCTTGTGCTCTGGCAGGAAGTGAGACAGCCAAGTATAAAGTGGTCCCCAGAGAAACTCCCACCGGCCTGCACACTGGGACAACAGTAGGGAGCCATAGAAGTTGGTGCCCTTTGCAGAGAGAGGAGCCCGGCTCTCCCAATTCGGGGTAGAACCTGGGATCCAATCTGAGGCGGGAAGAGCACCAGCAGGACTCCGGCTTTGCGGGGAGGCCCTATTTACGGTCTTTTCCTTCTCGCCCAATGTCCTTCTCACCCTTCAAAGTGTCTGGGAGCCTAATTTTTCATGGTCGTGTGACAAGGACCCTGTTTTTAGCTGAACTAAAAAGTCCTACAACAGAAGGAGCCTACCCTCGGGGCACAAGGTCAAAGCTGTGTGACGGGCACTCTGCTGCAGGCCGCTCTGAGCTGGGCTTAAGCACAGCCAAGGCCACCCACCCCCAGCAGCTGACAGCCCCTCCGCTTGTGCCTGGCACTGTCCAGGTGGCACCAGGGCCGCAGCGTCTGCAGGCTGAAGTCTCGCTGATGCTTGGTGTGTGCACGGCACCTCGGTGAGCTACTCTGTTTCCAACACTGTCAGTCCCCAGCTTCAGTCCTTAAACAGCAAACACCCAGAACCACGGAAAGGAGAGGCATGCCAGGTTATATAAGGAGGGTCCGCACTCACAGAGGCGGGCAGGCCCGAAGCCTTTGGTGTGGCAGCAACACCGTGTTACCCTATGGTCCCTCCATTCGCAGCTGCAGGGATATTTGGACAGAGTTTGGGCATAATCTAAGCACTGACAGACAAAGGGAAACCCCACCCAGCGTGTGTTCGGTACATTTGAAAATCAGTGCGTGACGGCCAAGGTCGTGAACGTCACCCAGGAGAAGGCTGAAGAGCCGGGCAGGGGCCTGTGTGGCACAGGCTTTCCCAATCCTGCCTCCTGGGTAACGCCGACTTCTCTGGTTCTCGTCCATCCACAGGCATCAGTTTCTCCTTTTTCTTAACGCTCATGTCTTTCCCAGCACACAGTTGGCTGTTAAATGAAAATAAACACCTGCACTGAATCCGAATTCTGAGGACAGAGGACAGGGAGGAGGGCGTGGCCTCACTCCTCAGTGGCTCCCGGCGCTACGCCTGCTGGCACCGTCCCCTGTGTCTTCAGGCCTCATTTGCTGGTGTCTCTAGCGGCTCGCAGCTCCTCCTTTGTGTGTCTGGACAATCTCTCTCCCTTTTTTCACAAAGAGAACTCTCAATTCTGGTTCACAAAGATACTCTTTTTTTTTTTGTCTAGAAACCTCCGTTTTGGGTCTTGAATGCCAGCTCTGTTTCACGCCCTGCTCAATTCTGACCACAGGCTCCAGGCCAGAGCATCACCTTGGCCATCAGGGGTCAGCTCATCTTCCGATGTTGAACTGTGTGAGCCAGACTCAGCTCCCAAGCCTGTCTCAGGCAGCAGGCAGCCCCCGTGAGCTGGCCATCCCAGCTAGCAGGCTGGGGGGTCCTAGAAAACTGCTAACCTCCAGGAAAACGGCCTCCTGTCACCGCCACCCGGAGGTGGCTCATCCAGCAGGGTCGTCTGTTCTCTCTGCTGGAGAAGGCCACCCTGGCTGCAAGGTTCAGTGGCGGCATGCACCGGATCACAACACGGGATGTTTAAACCTGGTCTGCCGCCAGCTCTTCAGATACACAGAGGGCTACAAACAACCACAATTAGCTTTCGGCACAACAGCCACCGTCTGTGTTAATGCGAGACGAACCCCAGGCCTTTACAGGGAGAGCTGTATGGGAACACGCTTCAGAAATGCCGCTGGTACCAGAAGTCAGCAGTCTCTTCGGTGCTCAGCAGAGTGGAGGCGTGAGCTGGGCCGAGGCATGCTCGCTGAGGATGAGCTCACGGCGCCCGTGCTGCCTGCAGGCAGGGCCTGGACAGAGTGCGCAGGTCCCTCAGCTTTGGCAGGAGGGACGGTATCTGTCTTACGGGTCACCAACCCCAACTTCAGAAAGTAACCCAAAATAATCTTCAGACTTTTACAGGACAGAGATGCAAAGTCAGAACAATAAACCCGCTCACTGGGGTCAGAGTCCTTGATTCTTGATGGGGCTGATTTGGTTGGCGGCAGTTTGAGGTCCCCCAGCCAGAGCTGGCTCAGTGGTGGGAGCCCATGGCCGCGGGGTCAGGGGAGGAATGCGGAGACACCACGGCTGCTCTGTGCCCTCAGTGTCCTCAGTGGGGCCACAGGGCTGGGCCTGGGCCTCTGTACCCTCCTGGATTCTGGGGAGAGGCCAGGGTCCCTGGGATGGGGCTGCCTGACACCCTCATTGCTGTGTTGACTCTCAGGGCCTCCCTGCTCCCCACAGTCTCTGCGACCGGGGTCGCCTGCAGCCCGGACCTCTTCCGCAAGGAGCCCCCTCTGCTGTCTGTGGCAGCACACACGGCCCCTCCCGGGCTGCTCCCTGCCCCTCCACGCTGCGTGCAGCTGGGACTTCAGGACAGCCACGGTGAGGCAGGCGAAGGGACATCACCCTCACGCTGTGTGCAGCTGGGAGAGCACACGGTGAGGCAGGCGAGGACATCTGCCCCTCACCGCTGCGTGCAGCTGGGAGGCTTCACGGTGAGGCAGGCGGGGACATGCCCCCTCCATGCTGCGTGCAGCTGGGAAACACACGGTGAGGGCGGGCGAAGGGGACATCTGGCATCTGGTGGCAAATCCTGGGATGGCATCTGGTGGCAAATCTGGGAGAAGGTTTAGGAAAATCATGACTGAAGTGTTGGGTGATAGAGCTAGCCACCATTTCAGGGACAAGGTGGAGGCCACAGGTGAGGAAACCAGGGCCTGGTATTTTCACTTTCTGTTTCCAGGGAAGGACACGCCATCTGCAGGGCCTGGCACAAAGACACCCGTCCGGGTGGGGAGATGTGGGCTCTCAGAGGCCTTCCCTTCCGGAAATATCAACGTGCAAAGTTCCGCTTCCATGAGTTCCACCCGTGCTGATAATCCTGCGGGCTAGGGGCTGCCCTTGCAGGGGGAAGAGGCAGGGTCCTGGGACAGCCCTCTTCCCAGGCGGTGGCTGGGCTCCCACCCGGCCCCGCCCCCCACTCTGGGCTGCAGAACCTTGAGTGGCAGCAGCTTCGCCTCCACCAGCCTTGATGTGCTTATCTGCAAGGGAGACGGGGTGCAGGGGGCGGGTCTGTTGTGGACAGTGGATGGCTGGAGAAGGTTGTGCATGGGCTGCGGGGGGCCTGCTCACGGGGGCCCTCCCCCAGCCCCCACCCCCAGAATGAGCTCCTGGCTGGCTGGTGGGTGCCCTTACCCTTCTGGATGACTTGCTGGGCCTGCCTCCTGACGCGGCTGTTTCGCAGGAACCGCCACTCCCGCTCCTTGCGGATCTGACTCTCCAGGTCGTGCTCTTCTGGGATCTTCAACAACAGAAAACACCCAGTTAAGCCCAGCGATGAAACAGGGTCGTCTCTCAGTATCAGTGGGGGACGGGTTCCAGGACCCCTCGGATAGCAAAACCTGTGTGGCTCAGTCCCTGATGTGAAAGGGTGTGGCACCCGCGTACAAGCACCACGCGTCCTCTGGCACACCTCAAACCCTCACTAGTTTGCTCACCATACCCGATACAGCACCCTCTGGCACACCTCAAACCTGAGCTAGCTTGTTCACCATACCCGATACGGCATCCTCTGGCACACCTCAAACCCTCACTAGCTTGCTCACCATACCCGATACGGCACCCTCTGGCACACCTTAAACCTGAGCTAGCTTGCTCACCATACCTGATACAGCGTCAATGCTGTGTAAATAGCTGCTATGCTGTATTTTCAAAATTTGGATTGTGTTTTGTTGTATTAAATTTATTTTTGTTATTTAAATTTGTTTTTTTATCCAAAATTGGTTCATCTGCGGATGCAGCTCCTGTGGACATGGAGGGCTTGGCTGTAGTTATTTTCAGATAAAGGCACCTCTTTCTCAAAGGCTGAAGGCTTTGGGCTTCTCGTCTGGTGGCGCACCCGAGGCACGGGCTGTTGGTAGGTCCTACATCTGCTACAAAACACATTGCTGGTCCCCTCCCCGGAGCTGGGAGAGGCACTCTCCACACCTGTGTTCGCTAGTGTTGGGGCTCTGAGACCCCTGAGTGAGTGGCCTGTAGGTGAGGCTGACAGGTTGATGGGAAGCAGGGCCTTGGGAAATGCCTCTCCAGGGAATGGGGGGTACTGAGGTCAGCACCGAGCAGCAGGGCAGGGGGACACCAAAGTGCCACTTCAAACACTGAAAACACAATCAGGAGGCAGGTGCGCGTGAGGAGACACGGCCTTTATTCTCTCTCTGATGCCAAAGGGAAGCAGGCAGCTGGCTGGAGGATGAGGGAGGTTACGAGGCAGGAGGAAGACAGCCTCACGAAAGGCTAGGCCGGGCCCTGAGAGGGTGCGCGACCTTCCTGGGCAGCAGAGGGGGTGTCCCTGGGCTCCCGACGGTAGAAGAGCTAGGAGGGTGCTGAGCTGCAAGTCTGGCTGGGGTTAAACTAACTCGTGAGACTTTAGTGCCCTTCTCTAACAAGACAGCTTCAGAAAGACCAAGTTAATTTTCACTTGAAATTTGCAGACGCCGGACATGCTGCTGTCCTCTCTTCCCTGAGCAAAGGTCCTCGCTTCAGGACCTGCGTGTGCGTGCCTGTGTGTGCGTGTGCATGTGTGCGTGTGCGTGCATGTGTCTGTGTGCACGCACATGTGGGTTGGGGTGTGCACGTTCAGCGTCTAGGAGAGGTCCATACTTGGCAAATACTAACTAGGATTTAATCGACTTTACGCAGCAGGATGGCCACTTGTCTGTGTAACACAGATGCATTTCCTTAAGCATACATTGACCGTTCAGTCAATCTGGCTGAGTCTGTTCCTTGCTAAGAAACTAAGACTTGTGAAGACCCAAAATACAAAAGAAACGAAATAAACAAGATAAGAACCCTAGTTCCTTTTGGCTCAAAACAACTCTGTCTCGACAAAGGAAAAAGCCTGCGTTAGTTATTAAAAAGTCGCTTTCTCTGATAGAAGAAATGGGAATAAAGACTATGGCGCGTGGCCATGTTTGTGTCCCTGCACGTAAATGTGGCAAGAAAATGGTTTCTCCATGTGGGGTTTTAGGCGGTCATTGCAGGTGGTTATTATGTGCAAATGTTTACACAGCATTCTTTGTGTCTCCTCCTCCAATGCTTTGTGTCAGCTCTGATGACAGAACAGAAACAGGCAAACCCCAGACCTTGCGTCTGACCCTGTGCTCACGGATGGCTGTGGCTCAGTTCCTAGTATTTTACTGCTCTGCTTCCATCTTTTTCTTCTTAAAAGTCAAAAACCACACTTGACAAAGCGGCCACAACACAGCAAAAAAGACATCCAAACCCGGAAACGATAACCACAAAAGGTGGCAAATGGCTCCCTCCGCACATTTTCTGGTTTAGAAATAACCCCACAATGGCAAACGGGATAGACTGTGGATTCTTAACAACCGGCTTCACTTTATGACAATCCTGAGCTTATTAGAAAAGAAGTGACAAATGACCAGTAACCTAGACCAGTAACAAGAAAAGACCCACAGCCGAAAGACTCAAAGCTGCGCAGGAACAGAGATATTGCACTTTCATGAGACTCGGGCTTCTCTGGGAATAAATTAGAGGAAGAGTCTAAAAGGCACTTTCCAGTGGGAAGGGAGAGTAACCCGATGCGAATTCCAGGTCCTTGGCCCGGCACTCTGTGGCCCCGGGTCTGAGCTCGGGCAAAGAACTTGGGGGCAGACACGGGGCAGCTTCAGAGCCTCAGCTTCGAAGACAACAGAAACGAAGACTGCAAGGTCGAGAGGGGGTCTGTGCCGGAACAGGGAGGGGCACCAGGACGCCTGGAGACAGGAGCTGAGGGGTTTCAGGTGGACTGGCATTTCTCCTGTTGCCATGGCACTGCAAGGGCCCTCTCCCAGCCCAGGAGCTCTGCCTCTAAAGGTAGGTGGCTGCCACTTCCCTAGTCTGAGCTCAAGGAGAGAGCCCACAGCCTTCCCTTACAGCCCTTGCGGGGCTGGGAAGAGACTTCCTGAACGGGAACTCGGTTCTGAAACCACCCCCAGTGTCTGTGTCAGGACAACCAGCTATGACCACGAGCGTCACAGGACCAGCAGAAGTGGAGGTGCGGTGTGAGGCAGGAGGGAGCGTGGTGGATGGAGAGGCCAGGGGAGGGCAGATGCCGTGGAAGATGCGGGCACCCTCCCTGGGAAGCCAGGATGTGACCGCCGCTCAGCACAGAGGCAGCAAATGACACTGCAGCTCTTCATCATTGGCCTGTCACCTCCTCTCCACCTGCTTCTCTTCAGGCTGAATAAAAGTTTTTCAGTAAACAAGGGCCCAGGCCGAGTGCAGGCTGAGCCTCCCTGTAGACAGAGCTCCTGGAGGCTGTGGGTGCCGCTGATCCTGTTACATGATGAGGATCTTGACACTCCTGTTCCTCACACCTCTTGGCTTCCACTCAGACAAAAACCAATTAAGATTCTGAAGCCTCCCACAGAAGCGTCAGCTGAAAGCCAATGAAACACAGCTCCTTTCCTGTTGCAAAGAAAAACCTGGGGCTCAGAAACAAAGGGAGATTAGAGGGTCCCCAGAAGACTTACGGGAAAGCAGCAGTTTGGGGCAGTTTTGGGGTAAATCCTTATCTGTGGAATCTGGGAGCCCTAGGGCTGAGTCTTATTCAATCTCTCTGAATTTAGAAAGTTCAGGGTGCAGGGGATAAAATTCAAAACAGGAACATGACTATCAAGATTGAGAAAGACTTGGGTGAAAGGCAAAAGGGGAGAGGAACCCACGGGAAAAGATTGCTAACACATTAAACGCTTACGCTCCGAGCTCCCTCCCTCTCCACCCACTTAGCTTCTGATTACATGAAGTAAGGGCAAATTTGCCTTTTCAGATGTGCTTTTCCCCTTGACGCTTTTCATTATTTTCCCCACTGTTTAGCAACAAACTATCCCCCTCCCCACTGAACAATAAAGTCCCCCTTCATGAACAGAGGCAGCAGAGGAGGTGGAGGAGGAGGAGGAGGAGGAGGTAGTGGTGTGCGTCGTGAGTCCACAGGCAACAGAGCTGATTTGATTCTGCCAATGTCTCGTGTGCATTACATCCAAGGACACAGCCTTTGCGTTACCACAAATTGCCAAGCTATGGAGCAGGGAGAAGCTCTGGATGAAGCTGGGAGCTTGCTGCGCGCATTCACTCCAAAACACACATTTACATCATCTTTCATGTGACTTCAGCACAAGAGGGAAAACGGTCTCTTCTCCCCGTAACATGAGGTTGATGGAGATGTAATTACATACAGTGAATTTCACCCTCTTTAGGTACAGGCGGAGTTTCGACACATGTTTACGGTCATATGACCACCCCTAAATCAAGATATAGAACAGTTCCATACAGTTTTGCCTTTCCTGGAATGTTATATAAATGGATTGCACAGGATGTGGTCTTTTGAGCAGCTTCTTCCATTTAGCATGATATACTTGAGATTCATCTGTGCCACTGCATTTATCAATAGTCCACATTTTTTTCTGATGAGTCTTTCATTACACCGTTACATCAGCTTCCCTCTTTACCAGGTGAAGGAAACTTGGGTTGTTTCCAGTTTTTGGTAAGTATGAATACAGTCACTATAAATACTTACATACAGGTTTCTGAATGAACATGTTTTCACCTCTCTTGGTGAATATCCAGGAGTAGAATGGTTGGGCTGTATGGCAGGTGTATGTTTAACTTTGTAAGAAACCGACAAACTTTTCCAAGGTGTCTGTAGTATCTTGTAGTTGCAGTAGCCAAGAATGAGGGTTTTCTTCAGATGCTCTGTGTCCTTTGCCAGTACTTGGTAGATTTCAAGATCCGAGGCATTCTAACAGGTGTGTAGTGGGATCTCACTGCAGGGGTCCGTACTTTCCTGTGATTAAGATCCTTAAAAATGAGCATCATTCCATGTCCTTATTTGCAACCTGTATATCTTCTTTGGTGAGGTGTCTGTGCAAATCTTTCGCCATTGTTTTTTAATTGGGTTGCTTATTTCCCTATTATGGAATTTTGAGTGTTCTTTATGTGTAACAGCCACAAGATCTTTATCTTATGTGTTTCATAATTTTCTTTCAGTCTGTGACTTGTCTTTTCATTTTCTTAACTGTCTTTAAAAAGCAGTTTTTGGCCGGGCGTGGTGGCTCATGCCTGTAATCCCAGCACTTTGGGAGGCCGAGGCGGGCGGATCACGAGGTCAGGAGATCCAGACCATCCTGGCTAACGTGGTGAAACCCCATCTCTACTAAAAATACAAAAAAAAAAATTAGTTGGGCGTGGTGGCGGGTGCCTGTAGTCCCAGCTACTCGGGAGGCTGAGGCAGGAGAATGGCTT